TCTCTTGGGCTTAGATAAGGTTTGATGTAGCCAGTGGCTGGCACTGCCCTGAGGGACTCTAGTGCTGCGGGTACCGGAGCAGCTTGGCCATTTTGAAACACGAGACAACCTTCCTCCACCCCGCACTCCCCCATTTGTGAGCATCCCTCTTCTTCCCCTGCCCCAGATGCCATCCAGAAGCACCGGAAGAGCCTGTCAGACTGGTTCAGCCACCAGCCCAGTGAGGAGAGGCAGTTCGGCCCGTCCTTCTCGCTGGACACCGTCCACGTGGACCCGGTCATTCGGGAGAGCTCCCTGGAGGAGATCCTGAAGCCCTCGCCCGAGCTGACCATCGTGAACCAGCTCCAGTCCCCCTGCAGCCGGACCATCGGCCTCCAGAACCTCTTCGATGCGGACGCCTGCGGGCAGCGGGTGAAGAACGTGGTGCTCTACGGCATGGTGGGCACGGGGAAGAGCACCCTAATCAAGAAGATGGTGGTGGACTGGTGCCACGGGCGCCTGCCCCGCTTTGAGCTGGTCCTCCCCTTCTCCTGCGAGGACCTGTCCCAGAGCCACGCACCCGTCTCGCTGCAGCGCCTCATCACCAAAAAGTACCTGCACCTCAAGGACGTGGTGCCGCTGCTGGGCTCCACCAACCTCCGGGTGCTCGTCGTCCTTACCGGCCTGGAGCGGCTCAATTTGGACTTCCGTCTGGCCGGCACGGAGCTGTGCTGTGACCCCCATGAGCCCGTGCCTCCCTCCGCCATAGTGGTCAACCTGCTGAGGAAATACATGCTGCCAGAGGTCAGTGTCCCTCCCCGTCTGGAGCTGTGGGCCCACGGGGGGACTGCGGGTAGAAACGGGGATCCACTACCCAAATCCCCTTGCTTGGCGAGGCCTGACAGGCTGGTACAAGGGCAGCCCCTGGGGGAAAGCTTCCCCACACCCATGTGCTGGAATGACACACGCACCCCCATGGCCCTCCTGGCAGGGGTTGCCATGACAAATTTAGGCCTTGGCCTCTCTGCACAGGCTGGGAAGGAGACCAATCTATGCCAGTTGGGAGGGTGGCTTCATCGACAACCTGCAGTTATCAGCGTAACATTGGGCCTGGGACCTGGGGTTTCGTTTGTGATGTGCCACATGCCAAAGACCAGACAGCCGAAATGGAAAGTGGAAAATCCAGAAGGCCTGGGGGAATTGGCGCTGGAGGAGGGGCGAGGCGAATGAATTGATGGCACAGCTCAGGTGACACCATGTGTCCCATGCTAGTGTCGGTGGCTCTTACCGGTTGAGCCATCAGTGCGGGCTGTGGCATGAACGATTTGAGGTCAACGTCACCTGACTCCCATCCAGGCCTGGCCAATCCCCCTCGATCTGTTTCATCGCGTAGGCAGGGCCTGGCCCGAAGCACTTGGCTGCCAGTGTGGGGTTTTCTCTGCGTGCTGGGTCAGGCCAATGATGGTTTGACACAGCGAGGGCGACTGCCTTAGATCTCCGCTCTGTGCCTCTCTGCTCTGATTGCAGGCCAGCATCGTCGTCACCACGCGTCCCTCCGCCGTGGGCCACATCCCCAGCAAGTACGTGGGCCGCTACGCCGAGGTCTGTGGCTTCTCCGACACCAACCTCCAGAAGCTGTACTTCCAGATGCGCCTGAGCCAACCCGGGTGCGACAGCAGCGGGAACAGCGGCCATGCCGAGAGCAACTTGGCCGAGCAGGACAATCTGGTGGAGATGCTCTCAAGGAACCTGGAGCGCCACAACCAGATCGCGGCGGCTTGCTTCCTGCCCTCTTACTGCTGGCTGGTCTGCACCACCCTGAACTTCCTCTACTTCACCAAGTCGGTGCCTCCACCGCAGACCCTGACAGGCATCTACACCAGCTTCCTGCGGCTCAACTTCAGCGGAGAGGTCCTGGACAGCACCGACCCCACCAACATCTCCATGATGAAATACGTGGCCAAGACGGTGGGCAAGCTGGCCCACGCGGGGGTGATGTCCCGCCAGACCTGCTTCTCTGAGGAAGACCTGCGGAAGTGCTTCGAAGTGGAGATGAGGACCGAGAGTGAGCTCAACCTCCTCAATATTTTCCGCAGCGATGTCTTCCGCTTCTTCCTCACGCCCTGCGTCCAGCCGGGCAAGGAGCACACCTTCGTCTTCACCATCCCCGCCATGCAGGAGTACCTGGCGGCCCTCTACGTGGTGTTGGGTGAGAAGAAGACCCTGGCGCAGCGGGTGGGGAAGGAGGTGTCCGAGGTCATCAGCAAGGTAGGTGAGGACGTAGCACTGGTGCTAAGCGTCGTCTCCAAAATCCTGCCCCTGCGCATCTTGCCTCTGCTCTTCAGCCTCCTCAAGATCTTCCCTCGCTTCTTCAGCCGGCTCAGTGGCAAGGACCGCGACACCATTGCCCACACTGTAGCTGTGGAGATGTTCAAGGAGGAGGACTCCTTCAATGATGACGTGCTAGACCAGATCAACTCCAGCATCTTGGGGATGGAGGGCCCCTTGAGCCACCCCGACGAGGCCCCGGATGACGAAGTCTTTGAGCTCTTCCCCATCTTCATGGGAGGGCTCCTGTCACGCCGCAACCGGGCCATCCTAGAGCAGCTGGGCTGCTCCATCCAGAACTTGGCGGCCTTTGAGATCGCCAACGCCATGAAGAAGACCGTGATCAGGAACAGCCACAAATGGCTGCCCTCATCGGAGCTGATGGACTACTTCGTCTTCCTGCATGAGTTCCAGAATGATCGCTTCACGGCCGAGGCCATCCGCTCCCTCAAGGCCATCAACCTCTCCTCCGTCAAGATGACCCCGCTCAAATGCTCCATCCTGGCCTCCGTCATGGGCACCACCAGCCATGAGGTAGAGGAGCTGAATCTGGCCTCCTGCCACCTCGACCTCAACAGCCTGAGGATTCTTTTCCCTGTCCTGTTACGGTGCCGGACGCTCCAGTGAGTGCCTCCTTCTATGTGCCTGGGATCTGGGTCATCCATTTAGATCAGGGGAGGCCTTACCAGGGCCGTCCTTAGTACTGCATAGGTCCCCATAAATTCTATTAAATATATCGGTGCCCCTGTGCCCGACGGCTGCCGAGGGAGAGGGAATGAGGGGATTTTATAATCTTCTGCAACACACCAATGAAATACGTTTAAAGCAAATTTTAAACGAAGGTCCTGTGGAAAGTAAATTCAGAAACCGACCGTATCTACCTGGCACTGTTAAACGGCTTCATTACCACTTGATTGGCTCTTTCGCAGGCTCAATGTTCTGCTGATCGTGAAAGCCTGCCAGAGCTTCTCAATTAACTTCCTCTCTCTGGAGGAAGCAGAGCCAGGGAGAGGAAGAGGTGGGTGGGAGGACATTAAGACCCAAGGGTGCCCCCAATTTGTGGATGTCCTACACCAGTGTTTCTCAACTTTTTTTTGATAAAGTAGCCCTTTAAACAAATGTCTTGCAATGGTAGAAAAAAATTGTGTGTCTGAAAACTGTAGGTGCTGGAGATACTTATAATTTTTTTCCAACAACTTTGCTCCTGTTTTGTCCTGGTCTGCTTTTTAAATATGCCTGGTATTGCAATCTCCTGTTCTACCAGAAGGTGGCAAGCTTCAGTCAGGAAAGAGAATACAGTAGATCTGAAAAACTGTCCTATTCCTTAGGCCAGAGAAAAATCAATACAAGGACAGTCTGGGAGGGAATTGTAGGCTAGATTTTTTTTTCTCTCTCTCTCCTCCAATATCCACCCACATTCATAGCAAGAGCATCCATGCAGCTCTGGGATTCTGCCTGAGAGCTCATGGCTTTTAGTCTTCTGGCTGGCACTGTTCAACTTCTGGTCGTTGCATGAGACTGGGGAGCATTTTCTCCCTGTATGGGAGGTAATTGTGTGTAATTTTCCAAGCAGAGGGATGGAAGTCCTCTATGATTGACCAGGCCTGGCAGCAGTAATACTGAGCAGTTACGTAGCATCTTTCCTGGGCTTCACGGACATTAATTGGTTAAGGAGGGAGGTCAGTGTTATTAACGTAGATGGGGAAATGACTTGTCCAGGGCTTCCCTGTAGCAGTGCTGGGACGAAACCCCAGTTCAGGTTCCCATTTCTGTGCTTTTTGACCACAAGATCAGGTGGCTTCTCCCATTGGGTTGCCTCAGGAGAGACCTCATCCCTTTTGGTTCTCACTTCCTAGTCCTGCAGTGTCTGGCAGGCTGGCGGAGGTGTGTGTGGGGACCGGTGGGTGGGTGTGAGTCACACTGCAATAGGTATAGATACATCTCCTCCGCATCCAGCAGTAACCTCCATTCCACCCTCGAGGGCCCGAGCGTGGTACTGGTACAGCAGGGGCAGGTATGGGGAGCCTTGGCCGGTGCCGCTGCTGACCTCTTGCTTTGTCTCAGTTTGCAGCTCAACAGCCTAGGCCCTGAAGCCTGCAAGGAGATCCGGGACCTGCTCCTGCATGACAAGTGTGTGGTGAGCACCCTGCGGTGAGTGTGCTCTGGAAACCCAGCGCCCGTCCCCCGCTCCCGCCCCACCAAAGCTGGACTCTCTGACCTCCCTGATGGTGAGGTCACTTCCTTAGTGTTCGCTGGCCTGGCCTGGGGGCGTGTTGGATCTGATGGTCAGCGGTTCAAGCTCCGAATCAGGCCCCACCGTTACTATGGCCAGAGCCTGGGGCGGGGAGGTAGTAGAGGGTAAGCAAATGGCTGAGAGGAAAGGCTGGGGGCAGAGTGCGCTGGTTGTTACTTTGGCTCTTATTAAGCAGGCTTTACGGTCCGTTCAGGGCAGCTGAAGCTGCTGCTGGTGCCCAAGGCCTGTCAAGGATCCTTTAAAGGGCTGGCAGAGGTGTCCGACCCAGTGCAGACATAGCTCCGCCAAAGGGGCATGGATTAAGATGGGTTTCTGGGCACTTGGTCGTGGAGGCAGTATATCTGGTGTGCTCCATCGCTTTTCTGCCTTGCAGCCCATATTTCCGTGTCTCTCACTGTGCCGCACCCTGGCCCCTCCTATCCCGGCAGCCCTGCTCTGCCTGTGGGATTCTCTAGCGTTGTTTCAGGGCGAGGGGAGCTGACTGTGTAGGGCCTGCAGCACACTCATGCCTCTTTCCCGTGTTGCTGAGGGAAGGGAGGTGTCCGTTCCATGAGGGTGGGGGGAGGAATGTGAGGGAAATGTATACAAAGGTGAGGAAGGTGTATAAGGGGAAAGTTTTCTCTGAAGTAGGAGCACAGAAAGGAACCGGTATCGTGCCCCTGCCAGGGCTGTCGTAAATGGAACAGGACTAGCTGCAATTTTTTCCATCAAATCTGTCTTTCAACAGAAAATTGAGCTTTCAGCTAGATGAAGTAGTTTGCAAGAAGTGTCTACTTTCCATGGAAAATGATAGTGATCTGTTTTTTAATTAAACCGCCAGCTCTCCAATCCCCAAAATAGCCCAATTTCGACATGTTGCCAAGCTGCCTTATGGCAGTTGTAGTTCATTTGCTTCAGGACCACGTTCTCTTCTATGCGCCAGGCTCCCCAACTGAACTACATTTCCCAGGGTGCACCATGGCCAGGGACTACCATGAAGAACAGCCTCCCTCCCCCAAAAGGGGAAACTGTACATCATCATGGGAGAGGTAGTCCAACTGGGGAGCCCAGCTTATAGTGGAGAATGGAAGCATGAGACAGTGGAACTACAACACCCAGGAGGCACTGCAGCAGTGTTTCCAAATTGAAATGCTTAGGTCATCAAATTTCTGCCCCAAATAAAAATCCCTATGAAAATTTATACAGAATTTTTTTTCTTTTCAAAATGCTGAAATTATCCATGGTGTGCGCGGGGTGGGGGAAGCATTTCCCACCAGCTCTGGGTTCAGATGCTCCCCTTAAACTATTCTCCCCCCAGAGCTGTGTCTCCTTACACCCTGCAGTAGTCAGGCTGTAGTGAGCACCCCGCTAGCTAGTCCCTGCTGGAGGGGCAGCCCCATCTCCTGACTACCCCCTTTCCCACTGTCACCTTCCTGTGTTGTTTTCAGGCTCTCGGACAACCCCGTGACTGAGCAGGGAGCCAAATACTTGGCTGAGGCCATTGCAGGCAATCGCTCCCTGACGCACCTGTCCCTGCTGCACACCTCCCTGGGGAACCAGGGCGTGGAGGTGATCACTCGGCATCTGGCCCAAAACCAGCACCTCAAGGAGCTCAACGTGGGCTACAATTCGGTGACGGACGAGGCCGCCCTGGCGCTGGCGGAGGTGGCCAAGAGGCATGCGACGTTGAAGGAAGTGCAGTGAGTGCCCACGCCTCTTCCTGTCCCCACCCAGCCTTATCGGTGCCCTCCCTGGCCCGCCCATGACCCCAGACCAGGGAGCCAGCTTTATAGGCACCAGCTTTCCTCCTTGGTGGTACTCCCAGCCCGTGATACCTGGCTCCCAGCCCGTGATATCTGGCTCCGCTGCCTCTGGGTGCTACTCCCCTCCTCCCCATAGGGGCTGGTGGCTGCTCTACAGGCTGGACCTCCTGGTCTGGCACCTGCTGGACCAGGGGAGATCAGTGCTCCTCAGCTGGCCACTGGCCCCTGCTCCTGGGTTCTCCTCTGGGCTGGTGGCCCACTCCTGGCTGCCACCCCTGGCCACCGGCTCTGCTCCGTGTCTGGCAGGGCTTCTGTCTACTGGCCCCCTGTTACCGGCCTGGCTGTGGCTGCCTAGCCCCGCCTGGGACTCCCGGCCGCCAGGCTCACCGCCAGCCTCCCGCTCCCGGCCGCCAGGGCTCTCTGGTCCAGCAGCATCCCATGGCCCTGCCGTCCCAGAGAGTCCCACATCTCAAAGGTTCAGATTTCAGCACGTGTCTCTTAGTGCCGGCTACGCCCCCTTGTCCGTGGCTCCTCCTGAGCTTGCCCCTGCTGGCTGCTAGAGTCCTTGTCTCTCATTGGTCACGACCCCCTGAGCTCTGCTTCTCCAACGGGTTACTGCCACGAAAGCAAAGCATAGGCTGCATGAGTGCGTATCCCTCATTGGTCACTGCCTTGCCCCCGTCCAATCCCATGCTTATCTCCCATTGGCCACTCCCTCCCCCTGGCTGCTGGAGACTTTGTCCCTCATTGGCTACTGTTCATCCACACATCTCCCATTGGCTGGTGCTTCTCTCTAAGCCTGCACTCATTGGCTACTGCCCTTTGGGGCTGCTCCTGTGCTTTCATTTCATTGGCCACTGCCCCCCATGCTCATCTCTCATTGGTCTGATAAATCCCGCCCAACCCAGCTCCTCTCTTCCCCAGCCTGTATTTCAACGACATCAGCGAGGAGGGCAAGCAGGCCCTGCATGCGCTGCGCAGGGACCGCGACGGTGTCCAGGTGCTGGTGTTCCTCACGGCGGGCACCGACGTCTCCGACGACTGGGCCCTCATCCTGAGCGTGGTGCAGAAGAACCTGCCCATCTGGGACCGCGAGCGGGTCCAGCAGCACCTCGCCCGGCTGCTGCAGGACCTGGAGTGCAGCCGCCGGCAGACCGGCAACCCCTGGAAGAAAGCCAAGTTCCTGCGGGTGGAGAGCCAAGTCAAGAAGATGCTGGTTAAAATCCAGCAGGGGACCCACTAGCGCCCCCCTTGCCTCTCCCGGGGGCCTCGCGTCCCAGCAGGAGGGGTGGGTATAGGGGGGGGGGAGTGCTGGAGGGGGTCACTCCGAACCATTTCCCCCACAGCAGCGTTTGCTTGGGTGGCTGGGAACACTGGGGAGAAGACGTTGGGGACTCTGCGGGGAGCAGATGGTTACTTGCGGCTCTACAGAGTCGGGGGGGGGGGGGGGGGGCG